GTCACAGCTCACGGTAGAGTCCAGGATAATCCAGGATAGACCGAGTCAAGAACGTCTTGGGACTAGGCTGGGATGAGATGAAAAACCACCCAAAACTTTCGAGACGACCAAAGTTTCCCTAAGATAAAATTCCGTACAGATAGGTAGCCTTTAGGGCAGCCCAAAAAACTGTATTTGGAAACACTCGGTCGTTGAGTGCCCCTAATCTACTCTGGGAATAATTAAGTAACGGGTTAAGGAAGAAAAGAAAGAAATTATATCCTATATCATGTATTATTGAATACAAATAAAAAAGGACGTTATGCAGTTCCATATTCCGCCGCCTGGTTGGCTCACGGTTGGGAGAGCGCCAGTCTGCTGAGCGAGAAGTCACGGGTTCGAACTAGAAGAAAGTGCTGCCTTTGTAATGACATCTGCAAACGGTTAGACTTCCTAGTCTTCTCGGATAAGGACGAAAAACCGTAGGCCCCGTCTCACAGCACTTACACTGGTTCTTGTGGGACGTAAAGGAAACCAGACCACTGTTCGAAAAGAGTAGGGGACGTAGACCCCGGTGTTGTGGTGAACCTTCACACACCATATCACATCATTCACATCATGGGTTGGGTGGGTACAGTAAGCTCACAAATGGACTGAGAGCGGCTGCCAGTGGCGCCTTTGTATGCTGACGCCATAATACGTACACCAAAAGGGACCATATAACATGCAAAGCGTCTGTGTTATATTACACAGAGTATAGTCCTTGAATTAAAAATTCGTCTTTTATCAGAACAAAATACTAAAGAAATCAAAACAGGACATTATTTTAACTTGTATCTAACCACATTAAGCCGTTATTCCGCGGACTACGTCCATGGAAACACTCAAAACTCATGCATTTATCAATTGGGAAAACGTAAAAAAAATACAGTAGCATAAATTCAACAAAATTGCGACAACAAGTTTATTCAGTATTACCATTTCTATAAATGGTGTTACCGATTGAAATAATTATGATAACAAGCAAAGAGAGTTAAGGAAATGCAAATATAATTGAATGATATGGTTAATTATTGTTATGTTTCTTTCGTCTTTCAAATGCTCAGTTAAAAAAACGAAAGTAACAGTACTCAGCCTGAATTCAGGGTCTGAAAGGGTTTTTTTCCCGCGATCCGGGATTGACCAAAATGAAGTGCGGGATTCGGGAAAGGTTAACGGGATATTGAGTTTTAATTGTTACGGGAGGCAAGATTCGCCAAAATTTAGGCACGAAAGCGGGACGCATGGCGAAAAACACGATTTGGCGGACCTTTCTTTCCAGACCCTATAAATTGCGAATGACTAATTTGCACGATCTATTCAAAACAGAAAGCGACGTCTACTCTAACACTGTGAACATCGACTATGTTATAACAAATTGCTTTTTAGGTTTCTGCTGTGATATACAATAAAATGAATTTCCATGTCATATGCTACTCTCATACGTACTACATTACTAAAAATACTTTACCCCAACGTCCAACAAGTTTGGTTTCTTAGCCAAAATTCGTAAATAAATGGGAATTATTTTGGCTCAACGTTAGATAACCTTAATTCCCATGAGATATATATTAAATATTGTTTATTAACACACCCTGCCTTGTTGGACCAAAACGTGGCCGACCATGGATCGTTGTTGGGATTCCAAATCGTCCTTACTGATCTTTCATTGTTTGTACCTATTTTTTTTATATGCACAGGAGATATAAATGAAAGAGATATCCTTCCCATCATACCATTCGTTCTGTGATGTCGCGCTAGTCTCCCGCGACTTTAAATCAAAAGAGACCAGTGGAGACCAGACAGGCCGAGTTAGTAATAGTAACATGACTAAGTGGAGTCCAATTCGGTCTGTAATCATACGAGTGATTAACAAAATCGGACGACCGCGTAGCTAAGCAAATTAACTACGAGAGAAAAGTGTTCAACTACCACAAAATTGTTTTGATACACCAATATGGCCGCCGTTTTAGTGTTCAATTTGGCGGACGTGACGTCATGCGAAAACGGTAAGGAAATTTCTAAATCGATCTAAAACTGGAGCAGTTTTCACTCGACTGGTTTAACTGCGAAACCAAACAGGAGCTAGTAAAACAACAAACGTCCAACTTTTCATGTACCAAACTTAACGACTATTTGGGTCGGGTTCGACGATTGATTCAGACGTCGAACTTAATTCATCGAACTCAATTTATTTGTACAGATGTACAATGGTTTACAATGTGGATTAGTGAAAATAAATTACAGTAATTTGTGCATAAGGTTCGGCACACGAAAAGTTCGTCGTTTGAAACCAAGTCGCTTCTCAGTCGAAATTCCACGGTGTTAGACATGTCGGGCTTAATTGATTCAAACGTCGACCTTTTGATGTACTTAATTAAGGGGATTAGGTTCGGTACATGAAAAAATCGACGCTTGAAATGGGCCTAATGATCCCCTCTATCTATTACATACTACACCCATGTTTGTCCTTCACCGGCTACATTTTCTTGGCTGAATTTCTCCTCCAGTTTACTGGCAAAGAGAGTCAGCCTCACCTGCTTTGAAGCGTCAATTAACATTAAAATGGTGCCATTTTCCATTTCACCAAAAGCGGCAAGAAATTTCTCGGCAGGGTTGTCAAATCGACTCCATTGTCTAATTTCTTCTTGTTTAAATTCCAGTTTTTCTGAAACTAATTGGTAGTGGTAGTAACCTAAAATGAAAAAGAACAAAAATGTAATTGTTATAACTCATCAACCCATCAGATCAAAAACTGTCACAGTGGACAAAAGCTTGAGATGAACGCTTCTTGCTTATAATTCTACATATTTGATCAGTAAACATGGTGGTTCTCACTTTAAGCCTAGCTGTGCGTGAAATTAAAAGGATCGTTGAGTGTAAACACTGAAATGAAAACACTACTTTCCTGCGGTACTGTTCACAAGCGCCGTACAAAATCTTTCTAAGTTTTGCGGGATTCTTGGAATGAAATACTACTCAAAGTAAAGTGTCACCATTCTGATGAAAGCTACTGGGCAGTACTTTCCTATGGAAGTGTTAACTTAAATTTCCGAGTTGTTCCAAACCTCAGTGTCAAAGCGATATTAATTGCGAAGCTATACAAGAAAAAGGTTTTTTTAATCTCCTGCAAATCAAACTCATTTTCACAAAAGAGGTATTGCACTTAGCCTCGTTTTGAAAGTGAGGGTTTTTAGAACTCTAGCCGGAATGGCCTATTGTTTACATACAACAGAAAATTTCCGGGAAATCTCGAACGAGCTTTCCAAGAATAGTTTCAATTCGCCTGTTATTCGCCCAATTAATTGTTTAGCAAAACAAGACAAAGTAAACTGTTTACCATCAGTGGTTTGGCCATTAAGCCAACCTGAAATAAACCTTCTGTCCTCAACAGGTAAATCTCGGACCAAAGTATCTAAGCCACCTGAAGAACAAAAAAGAGGAGGAAAAAAACTGAATACATTTAAATGAATGCATACATATATTTATAAAAGGGATGAAGAATAACGAGTTAATACAAATTTTTGTTGTCTCTTTAATTAGAGTTTCAAGTTAGAAATCAACGCAAAGTCAAAGAATTATCCATGAGGGCTACATGTAGCACAGTGAAATGCACTGCCCTGACTGATAATCAAAATGCTGGTTGCAGAGCTCGAGGGGATCGGAGTGATCGATTGACTAATGACCGTGTCATGGGTGGAGAGGATGAGTTCTTAAACTTGGTTCCATAGAGCATCAGAACAAGCATAATAATGAAACATTTGTTTAAGAAGTTAAAGTCGTTACCCCTTGCTTATTGCACAATAACGATAAGGTTATCTTCAGAAAATAAATCACGCTTATTAATAAATAAGAAACTTACGTGGTGTGCGTGACATCAGAGGACGCTTTTGTTCAACGCTTCTGGAGTTCTTTCTTTCAGGCTTCCGGCTCCTTCTTCTTTGCCGACATCTAAGGACTACAACAACTCCTATTACAGCTGGGATCAAGGCAAGGAGGAAGAGTAAAAACAATAGCTTGTTCTCCCCCGTTGATTCCTCTGGTACATCATCAGTCTTTATTACATTCAGTTGTGCGGGAAGTTTTGTGCCTGCATTTGGCGAACGGCGGCTACTTGGACTATTTGTAGTCTTTTCTGGAACAGGAGTAGTGGCTGTAAAGATAGATCGGTGGACATGGTTAGTCAACCTGTCCTCTCCCTGGAGGAAAAAAAGCAACAATTAACGCGTTTATTTGTTATAATTATTAATATACTCACTTGGAATATTTTCAGTCTGTTCTGGAACAGGAGTGGTGGATGTAAAGATAAATCGGTGGATATGGTTAGTCAACCTGTCCTCTCTCTGGAGGAAAAAACAGCACTTAACGCGTTTATTTGACTTAATTATTTAATAATATAGTACTCACATGAAATTGACAAATATTCTTAAACATAATTTTTTTAGAACGGAATGAACTATAAAAGTCAACGTTAAAAAAGAACGACTTTTCGACAGTTCGACGGGCATTTTCAAGTTCAGGATAAGAAAGAAATTAAAAAGTAGCATGTGCTCATATACAACTGTGAATGGACTAACGAGATACTTCTAGATACTGACTCATTAGCTAATTTCTACTTCTTATCCTGAACTTGAAAATGACCGTCGGGCGGTCAAAATGTCGCCTTGTTGAACGTTAACTTTTGTAAAAAAAAAAAACTGTCCTTAGGCTTTGCTTATATGAAGAAAAAGCGATTATGTGTCTTTTAGGAAAAAATGGTGACTTCTTTGCCCGACTCAACAGCGCTCGCCTATGAAGCTCCCCATAGGATTTTTCTATAAATCAGAAGACGAGAACTGAAGCGAGCAATGTACCCTGAACCCTTACCTTTACAGTAATAAATTGAGAACCCTTTATGAATTATCCTAAACAAATAAGTTGAACCAAAACTAAGGAGTAAGTTTTCATAATTGACATCAATAGGAAATAAATAAACAAATAAATTAATATAGGAAATAAAGAATAATAAGAAATAAGGCCTGAGGTGGCATCTTGAGAGCTCTAGGTCCGTTTTTAATAGGCTTACTTTTTACCAAAAGTTCAGTTGGATCCCGTGCGGTGCATAAACGATCATGCGCAGTTTCGCATTTCCTTGTCTCTTTTTGAAAAATACCGTCGCATGGCTGTGAACAAGGAACACATCCTCCATGTTCTCCGTAGCCTGGATCGAAGTAATGCCCCTCCGCACAGCCTTTGCACTTTGTCGGGGAAGTTGTTGTGCAGTTGCGAATAATCTTGAAGTTTCCTTCCAGGCATTCCGAGACTTCATTTATACAGCTGTCGTGCGAGAAAAGAAATTTGTTATTATTTCTTACAAATGTAATGGGCATTTTCAGACTGTGTTGGTGTGGAGGGGGCGTGGAGGGGATGGGGAGGGGCTAAAGAAGGGTGTGGGAAAGGAGAGAGAGAGAGAGGGATGCTTTTTATGAGGTTTGTTTTATTGGCCAGTTTGTGGCTGAGCCGGGGACTGGGCCACTGTTGTGTCGAACACATGATTGAGATGGCGCATGATTCTGGTAATCTTTCTCGAAGGCCAATGTTCACCCATCATTTTTGTTCGCGACGTTGATTTTGAGACAGCGTTCAATTACGAACCTACCAGTGCACCTTTTTAGCTTGTATGTTTTGTTTTCCCAGTGTAGGTCATGTGATGATAATCTAGAAGACTATTTCATTCATTGATTTGTGAAAAGTCAAAGAGGGAATTCCCCTAAGGCCTTTAAGGTGGCTCGATACAGTTTTTCAGGGTCAATACCTCCCAACTTTGAGCGTAAACTACGTCGCCATAAACAAATATTTGGAAAAATTAACACCACAGTTGTATTAGATAAAGATGAAAATTTGTTATGATCAGGGTTACAATGACATCGGAGTTGTCATAGCAACGAAATGACGCCATTGCCTATTTTACTTGAAGCAGTATTTCTCGGCACTGGGAACTGTTCTTCCAAAATCGTTAACTGTAGCTTTTACCTACGATAGCTGCCTCGATGTTCGTGAAGTTTAAGCGAAATCTGTAAGAGCGTTATCGAGATATTTTGGGATGAAGTTTTTCTGGTTAGAAATACGGTAAAAAATTGACAATCTTGATATGCGACTGTTATCTGTACTAAACGAAGCGCTTTTGACATGCAATTTCACCTCATAGTAGTTTCAGTCTTTTTGAAAACGTGTGTGAAAGATCATGGAGATACCTCCAGCCGATTGCTAGAAAGGAGGATTTGATTAGTATGTATCAAGGCACTCTTGTTAGCGGTAATGTAAACATTTCGGTCTACTTTAACAAATTAGCGAATAATTTTTAAACCGCTCGATAAATTTTCCAAAAAATTTAAGAGTGTTGAGGTAAACTGTCCTTTTATTTGACCTCTTAGTTTCAAGATTATTGATATGTTGTAAGATAGTAAAATAAGGGCTACAATTCGCTAATATTTTGTCAGAAATTTTGTCTTTACAAGTGAGAGTCTTTTATTATTCAGGGGTATTGTCTCAAAGTTTCATTTTCACGTGAACAGCAGTAACTAACAATGTATTTAAAATATGCAAAACTGCAAGCTATTGTTATGCACTAAAATATGAAACTTGGAGACAATGCCCCTGAATAATGAGAGGCTCTCACTTGTAAACACAAAATTTCTGACAAAATGTTAGCGAATTCAAGCCCTTATTTTACTGCCTTACAATATATCAATAATCTTGAAACTAAGAGGTCGTATAAAAGGAGTGTTAATCTCAAGATTCTTAAATTTTCTAAAAAATTTATCGAGCGGTTTAAAAATTATTCGCTAATTTGTTAAAGTAGACCGCAATGTTTACATTACCGCTAACAAGAGTGCCTTGATACATACTAATCAAATCCTTCTTTCTAGCAGTCGGCTGGAGGTATCTCCAAGATCTTTCACACACGTTTTTAAAAAGATTGAAACTACTATGAGGTGAAATTGCATGTCAAAAGCGCTTCGTTTAGTACAGATAACAGTCGAATATCAAGATTGTCAATTTTTTTACCGTATTTCTAACCAGAAAAACTTCATCCCAAAATATCTCGATAACGCTCCTACAGATTTCGCTTAAACTTCACGAACATCGAGGCAGCTATCGTAGGTAAAAGCTACAGTAAACGATTTTGGAAGAACAGTTCCCAGTGCCGAGAAATACTGCTGCAAGTAAAATAGGTAATGGCGTCATTTCGTTGCTATGACAACTCCGATGTCATTGTAACCCTGATCATAACAAATTTTCATCTTTATTTAATACAACTGTGGTGTCAATTTTTCCAAATATTTGTTTATGGCGACGTAGTTTACGCTCAAACTTGGGAGGTATTGACCTTGAAAAACTATATCGAGCCACCTTAAAACATAAAAGATAAAGAGGTCTATTAATTTTATTAACTCTTATTTTTCGAAAATAAACCAAAATCGCAGGTACTGCGTGCAACTTAACTTACTAAATACACGGTTCCATGCTCGTGTTATTCGACCAATCGTACCCAGGCCAACATTCTTGACACTCTGTGTCTTCCTTTTCGCTACATTTGGTTTTCACTCCGTACCCTGGCCCACACTTGGTGCAAGAGGTACATGACGTACCATTCCAATACTGATCGGCGGACGGACAGCTAGTTGACGTAGTAGCCAACTGGAAAAGAAAAGAATGCGAAACGAAATTGGACAAAGTAAGATTTGATTCAGTTTGTATGGGCCAATTCACCTACCAAGAAGACCTTTAAAGAGAAAATGAATAATTTTTTTGTTCTCTCTAACATGGCCTACCGTTATGTAGGCTTGATTTTTGCCGCTCTCTCGGTCCTCCAAAAGAACAGACGGCCGTTTTTTGGGGGGGAAGAGCGCGGGCTTACTTCCCGAACAGTGGTAATCGAGCCTAACCGTTATGTTGACTTTTTGCAAGTGTAACCAGCTGTGTTCAAAGTGAACCCCCAAAAAGGCAGGGAAATTTTATTTACTAATGGGCCTTTTAGATTATGGTGGCCGTGACTTTAATCAAGCCCAGTTCCGTCAACTGATCGCGTCATTGAGCAAGGGGCGGTAGCCGACTTTGCCTAGTCCTCCGATACATTATCGTTGTGTCTTATATGTAGGGACGAGCCACTGGCTTTCTGACCCCTGGGGCCAGTTTGATAAGACTTTTACAAGTGCATTTTACAAGTGTGGCTATTGTTTTCGTACTGTTTAAAAACGTTGCAGGAGTGTATTATCAGGTTTAAAAACTCGAGACGAACGGCTTCATAATCTCTGATATAGATCAACTCATTCTTGCACTAATATTTCGATTTAGGGTTATTTTGCTCTAAAAAATTGGACGTAAAATTTCGCCATGTCTTCATCCCATATAAAGACACTTATTAAACCGCATTAATTTCTTTTGTTTTTTCTTTATGAGTTATTGAGGAGTTTTTGAAAAATTCCAAAATTTATAATAGGTACACTTGTAAATTACACTCTTGTAAAAATTTTAGTAAACTGGCCCCTGGACACATTCATTCATGTATTTTTGCATTGTATTCATTCAGTTGATCTGTTTTCTGATCCGGGATTTGGCCAAAATATGTTGAGGGATTCGGGAAAACGCAAATCATATTGAGAGAAAACGAGATCTGACTGCTACCCAGGAAGCCGGATTCACCAAAATTTTGGCACGGGACGTGAGACTGTTTTTTTTCCCCCTGTCTATCAGGAATTCGGTAAATCGTAAAATGAGAAATCGGCAAATGTGAATCAACCGCTTCGTCATCTGACGGGGGTATGAAAAGCTGTGTCAAAATATCAAACGAATCAAAAGGGCCAATCTACGGGTTAATTAATATTTTTGGCTTTTGCAGAAATTGGTCTTTTTTACCTAATGGAAACAAAAACGGGATTCGGGAAAGTGATGAAAAAAAGTGCGGGATGCGGGATTTTCGTGAAAAAGAGCAGAAATGCGGGATCAGGACAAGTTGTACTCGATCATTATGATATTTTTATTTTTATATTTATTAATGATTACTTGCATTGTAAGAGCATTTAGACTTTGTTAATTGCTCCTAGCACCTGTATGTTATATTATTAAGACCTTGGGCGGCATACACCTATCCGAAATTTATGGTAGTACAAATAGGCTTGAATTGTGTTCATGGTTACTGAGTTTTCTGCCTTCAGCAGAGGCTTAGTGGTTTTTCGCAAGACTGAATTATCCCCCTAGCCTCTAGAGGAGTAAAAACTAAAACAGATGTATTGATTACGAGCAATGAGTGAAGAAAAATACGCTATATTTTGAAGCACATGCAATATATTTCTTCGTTACGGACGTATAACGACGATTGCGGTTTGTGTGGTATTGACCTCGACTCTACTTGACCTGTTTGGTAGCGTGCATAAATGATATAAGAGCTGATTGAAGCGATATCATCATCGTCATTTCAACTGCTTAAATTTCCTTGTTTTCACAAACACGTGATTGTACTGAGCGTTCATCGGCATATTGCTCTTTAATAGACCTTGTCACGGTTTTTGACGCCATCTTGACGAGTAGGCAAACGCATGAGAAATTACAGTGATTGTATAAGAATCTAATGTCGAATAATTTCCGTAAAACGGCTGTTCTGAAAAAAATATCAATTGTAAACCAAAGCTACAAAGCAAAGGATTGTCCTAGAAAATTTGGGGGGCGTACCTGTGCTTGAATTTCTCCAGAGGCTTGCTTTACATTTTCCATATATTTGTCTGTAATTTTCCCGGGACTTTCTTAGAGACAAATGTATAGAAAATTTAAAAAAGTGGTTCTAGGTCTTCTAGTGCATGTAACGCCCTAAAATGTTTTCAGGAGAATCCTTAGCAGTGAAGCTTTAGTTTACAAATCATATTTTTTTCAGAACAGCCGTTTTACGGAAATTATTCGACATTAGATTCTCATACAATCACTGTAATTTCTCACGCGTTTGCCTACTCGTCAAGATGGCGTCGAAAACCGTGACAAGGTCTATACTCCAGTGATAAGGGTTTATTTTTATAAACAGCGAAGCATTAAAATAAAACATTTTTAATTTATCTATTCTCGAGATAAGTTTATTGTTAAAACCCATTTGTTGTATTCTTTCTTAATAGCTTTATGATATTGTAGCGCGGCGCTAGCCTGAATTTCATCCGATTACTTCGAGTCGTTATTACTCCCTCAGTTGTTGAGAGGAGAAAACGACTCGAAGAAATCGGATGAATTTCAGGCTAGCGCGGCGCGATATTCACTTTCCTCTATCATAAAACATTACGGCAGCTTTCAA